TCTTTACAATTTAAAAACTCCTTGAAAAAGTTTTTTTTTGCAATAACGGACCCTATTTGCACAAATTCATAAAAGCGGACCCTGGTTGAAAGAATGTGAGTAATTTTTTCACAATTTCACGAAAAACGGACCTTTCACAAAATGTCTGGACAGACCCCTGACAATGTATACATAATTCTAAATGTAGCTACAGAAAAATGAGTATGTTTTTCCTTTTTACAGAGACATTCAAGTTAGTCATATGATTCAAAATAGGTGCTCTTAGTCCTACCTCACTTTTTCAGATGGTTCGATTGTTAAGTTTACTCCTCCTAACACCTCCCTATCTCTAGATGGGAAAGATGGTAATACCTCCTTGAAAGTAAACCCCCCACTAAGCACAGAAAGAAAAACAGCAATGCATAAGACATGAGACTCTGTGGAGCTGACATTCACAATTGATAATCTGTCAGATGTCTGAAGAAATGTTTCATTTATATGAACACCTCAATGACTAGATTTCTGTTATCGTTTTTTAGACCCGGCTGTGTTGAATATAATCCCCAAATTGATAATAAGTAGAAAGCAATTTTCCATGGGGGAAGAAATTGAGAGCATTTAAGGCACATCAGCTTGTGGGACCTCATAACCAAGTATTATCCAGATGAAAAGATCAAAAGATGTCACAGTCTGAAATATTTCACATGAGCAGTATCATTTTCTTTCCTTTCTTTGCAAAGATAAAGGAAGGTGAGAAGAGAATATATATATGTATACAATCAGATCTCGATATAAGGTCATCCCCGCATATAAGGTCACCCCGCATATAAGGTCACGTTTCCAAAGTCCCGGCTCACTGAATAGGAATTCTTTGTTATAGATTATCGGATATATGGTCAAGTTTTAAAAATTATTATCGCATATAAGGTCATTTTTATTCAATTACCCCTCTCGAATTCTAGGAAAATGTTGCAGCCAACGAATTTCTGAAATTGTTTCACAAGTTGTGGACAGTGGTCCTGAGACTGTAGCTGTAAACCAAGTGGAAGCCTTCAATGCAATAAATGTCATACGAATTTTTTTTACAAACCATGAGGGAGCTGGGAAACATATTGAGAAGCTAAAAAATCTAGAAAACATTGTTCGAATAATGAAACCAAAAGCGAGACAGACCTGCATGAATGATTATTTTAAATAAGGTAAGATGTAATGTATGTATGTACACTTTGAGGAAATTTGCTTTACTTTAAGTACATTTTTTAAAAGAAATCTAACTTTCGTTAATTCTTTACTAATTCTGTTAAAATTTATTGACTTAAATATTTAATTTATCGTTTTCGCTTGTAATACCATTTTTAAAAAGTCATAATGTGTACTATTTACGTGCTTATTTACGAACTGTCAATGAATTGGTTAAAAGGTCACCCCGCTTAGAAGGTCACTTTTGCGACGTCCCTTAGGGTGACCTTATATCGAGGTCTGACTGTATATATATATATTTAAATCATGATAAGCTGTACAATATATGTAAGAACTTGGTCTATTTTAATTTTAGTAAGCTTTGTAATAAAGCATGTTTTTTCCAAGGGTTTAACTTCAAGACCAGATCAATTTCTTCGAAGAAGTTTTAAGACAAATGTGAAAACCTGTTAACATCATCATGTTAAGAATGAGCATTACTTAGTCTTTTTAATTATTCTGAAATCTTCAAAAAATGTTTGGTCCAAAAAAGCAGTGAGCATATATTGAAATGAATTTCTAGAACATATAATGTGCAACTTATTCATTTATTTGTATGAATTTAGTTAGCTTTGAAAACAAACAGCAAAAGCAAAAATAAATTTTTTAAAAAACTGGAATACAGACTACATTACTGAATGATAATAATAATTTAGAGTCAGTAGGAAAGTTCAAAGTTTTATAAAGTAAAACTACATTAGGGTAGGACCTCATTAGGGGATTTATATATTCCATGCAACAGCAAGTTTCTTTAACAGATTCAACATTACATGTTCTTACAGGAGATGAAAACTAGCTTTTCATACTTGTTGCATTAGGTTAAGGAAGTTAATTATTAGTTAAATAGAGGTCATAATATGTTTAAGTAATAAGAGTAAGCAAATCTGCTAAGACACTGAACGAATTGAAAAAAAAAAGTTTTAATAAAAAATACAGCATTTTGCTCTCTGAAAGTCAATTTCCTACAAACAAATAATTTTGAAACCATCTAAAATGAAAGGCAGGTTGATTGATATTGAAAGCATGAGAAAACAAGACATTTTGGAGATATATGTGGTCGGACATATGAGCCCAAGGGTACAAAAAGGATTAGTAAGTATAATGCAATTTCTCTAAGATACTTTTAATAAGTAACTAAGTAACCAAAAACTAAAACTCAGCGGCGCGACAGCCCAAAGAGGGCCAAGGTCTACTGTGCCCATCTCAGTTTTCTTGACCTTTGGGCTCTGGGGTGCAGGAGCAGATGTTCCGGTTAGGTGGTCAGCCAAACGTGAAACCCCCAGTGTTTAGTTCCCAAGCATGCTTGGTACTGATTTATCGACCCACTGAATGGATGAACGGCTGAGTCAACCTCGCCCGGCTCGAGGATAGAACCAGGGACCTGTGGCACGACAGCGCGAAGCGCTACCGCTCAGCCACCGTGCGTCAAGTAACCAAAGCTTTACATAAAAAACTTACACAGAAGAGGTGACTTGAAACATGCTTCGATCATAGTTGGTTCCAGAATACATCAGATGATCAGTTGAAGCAACCTAAGTGACACCCACTTTAGTTATTACAGATACAGGATGTTCTAAATTACGTTAACTTATTTGAAAAATTTATAACAAGAAAACATTTGAGCTTAAAACACTATGCTGGCAGTGAATTCATGTGACGGCACATAAATTTTTTCCCCAGAGCTTTTGATTTTAATATTAAAAAATTTCAAACACTGCTATTCCCTTTTACTGTTCTTTACTAATTTCATCCTTGGATTCAACAAATGATTACATCTAATAATGAACATTTAAAAAAAATTTTTTTTTCATTTTTATTCCTAATAGATTTTGAAACATATTGATGTAATTTTTAATTAGTTTTCTTCTGTTTAAAGGTTTAAAATCAAAAACGCTGGAAATAAAATTTATGCCCTGTCACACGAATTTGCTGTAAAAATTGTTTTCGTCTCCTTAACCATTCTACAGTAATAAATTTTTGCTAAAAGTCTAGTTTAAAACCTGGAAGTAAAAAAATTTTGATTCATCATAGTTGCATACATCTTAATAGCACTTTAATCAATCAAGTATTTTACAATTGCATAAAGTTATAGCAATATTTCTTCTCAATACATAGCATCCTTCTTGAATAATGAAGATGAAAACTTTTTTTGTTTTAAAAACACGAGGTGAAAGGACATCTTTAGGTGCAACAGACACTCAGTCAGTTAGTAATTTTATTCAAAGAAAGTAACATTTTATTTAAAAATAATAATAAATAAAAAAAACTGTGCTAAGAACACAGAAAAAAATTTTACTGTATCAAGACTTTTTGTGCCTAGGGATTGTTTTTAAAACTATAACAATGTAAAAACATTTTCTCAGACCTTGAGTAGACCTTTAAATTTTCATATATTTGTGAAGAGTATTTTTGTATATATATATTTATGCTTGTGATCTAATTAAAAATTATTAGAATTTTTTTCTTCTTGTTGTTTCTTAGTTAGCTAAAACATTTATTCTGCCTCAATAACCACATTAAAAGAGTTGTTGAAAAGACAACAGTGAAAGAAAAATAACTTTAGGGATAAGAATAAATTATGAATGGAATAAAAATGTTAAAAAGTCTGATAATAGTGAAATCTGTAAATGTTTAAATATAAATAATTTAGGCAGCATTAAAAAAAAATTGCAAGCATTATTTTAAAATAAATAAATCTCTAATTAATTTTTTAAAAAAGAGTAGATGCTGTATTTTGACAGTTTAAAAATAAATAACACAGCAATAGGTATATTTGTAATAAACTATGTAAATATTTTAATAGATAATTATCACTTCTAATATAATAAGTGTGATAAAAATAAAAAGCTGAAGCGGAAATTACATTTAGTTTTTTTTTAAATAATTTCTGATGTTCCAGATCTTCAACTTCAACATGAGACTTCTAATTAGTCACTAAAGAAATTTTCAGGGTTTTACCACAATGACAGTGGAATAAGAAATAAGATACTCCATCAATATTTCATTTTAATATTATATATATTCTTTTATTACGATTCCTGAAAATGCACCTGTATATGCATTTCTCTTACTCAGCAACAAAGAAAGTCCATTTTTCTCTTTTGAGTTGGCAACTAAGAATTGAAATTTCAAGTGTAAGCTGTCATAAGCATGAAAGTGTAAATGTAAATTTTTGCAAATTTTTGAATGAAAATTCTTTTCTCACATGAACTATGAAAAGCTAAAACAAACAGAGTTTTAAGTTGGTTAGAATAGAAAGGTTAAAAGAGAACACCTCATGTCAGCAAACTAAGTGTTCTATGTTATGTTTTAAATTTACTTATGCAGGTTCAATAATCATAATTTTATTCATTATTCATTGGAAAATGAGTATTAACTGAACTGTTATGCATTTTAAGGATTTAATAAAAAAAAAGCTTGCTTAAAGAGGAAAAAAAAACGTTGATGACAATTATGAAAGATGCAACATTGAAAGACGTGCTGTCATATATGTTGTTTACAAAAACAGAATTGTTTTCTTTTGTAAGGTTTTCTATTTCTACCACTAGTGAGAAGCAGGTGCGGAACTCACTAGTGGTGGGAAAAGCTTTAATATCTCTGATAAAAGTATTTTCAACCCTTCATGAAAATATTTTCCTAAAATTTACTTAGACAGAATTTTAAACATTTTCTATTGCACCTGCTATTCGCAAGGGATCTTTCTGCAGCACCCAGGAAAATTTCTCTTTAGACAAGTCTGTGGCTTAGCAAGAATAGAAAAAATTTGCCATATGTGTGGAAATTCAAGAAAATTTTTACTAAACTTTGCTCCATTACATGATAAAAAAAAAATTCCAAATAGATGGCTCTTTGACAAAATGTTTACACAATCACAGCATCACAGATAGTTAGTAATTAAGAAATATATCACAGACAGTTAGTATTAAAGAAAACAACAATCTGAATAAAAATAACATTTTTAAATCAAAAATTATTAAGTTTTAAAAATTAATTATGAAAAACTGCATTATAAATGTCCTTAAGAAGTGCTAAAAATGATACTGCTGAGGAGAAATATAATCAGCAAAATTTAGATATTTTAACACAAAGTGAATTGGCATTGAAAAATGTATTTAAGTACCTGCTTAACAACAGAACAGATACAATGTACTATTATCATAATGTAAAATGTTAGTATTTTATTCTTATTTTAGTAGAAGGACAAATTTATTTACATCACACTAAAGATGCACAATGGACTATTGACGTCAATCTGGAAAACAACCCTGAGGTTAATCCAAAGACATACGATTATAAATTTTCAGAGAGGATGTCTCCTTCACCTTGCTAGCCAGAGGAACTGTAGACGTTTAGTTGAGCACTTTATGGTAGAATATTTTAGCAAAAACCGATACCACACACCTTTGGTTACTTTCACAGGCGGATCAAAGTGGTCATTCACCAACACACTGACTACTGTCAGTGATGCTTGATTTGCGTTATCTACTAAAAAGAGTGTCTTACAATCAGTCGACAGTTGGACTATTCTTATTTGATGATCATATGCTGATAACATATTCGGTTGATGATGATTTTATATGTTATTTCTGTTAGAAGGCACTAACTAATACATGTATCACTGAATATAAAATTCCAAATATTTTTAAACCCTAACTTTGATTTTACATAAAACGTATGAAAAACAAAAATTAGAAGCTAAATTATAAATGTATTTGAAAAACATGCTATAATATCAATCTCATGTATAAACTAAGTACTTAATTCACAAATTAATTTAGAGTATAGAACTATAAATGGATTATAATTACAAACAAAAAGATATAATATAATTATTTACAAGAATCTGACCGTCCAGTTTGATAATTCAAAATAACTTACAAGAATGCGTCTACACTTCTGGTTCACAATATTTCCTTTATACATCTCAAAGTTAACAGAACTCAGAGTTTTCCTCAAACAAGCGTTAGAAAATTCCACTAAAAATAACATAAGAAACTCGATGGTTACAAAAGAAATGCATTACATTAAAAACATATTCCATGCTGAAACTGTGTTTCATAATACACAAATAAATAGAAGATGTATATGTATTGGCCCACACAAAAGGCACTGAATTTCAAAACTAGCACTATTTATTTTTCACTACAAATTTCAATCAAACTGCTAAATAACCAATAATAGTTAAGTGTAAAAAATCTGTTTTCCATACACAATATTTTCAAGAAACAGTGCCACACTATAATAAAAATGGTTATAAAAATTATTATAGTTATCCATAAAATGTTAACTAGTAAATATAAATTATTACTATAAAAATAATAAAGATAAATTTTAAGAAAATAAAATTGCGAACTCTCAGTAATTATCATCTGCTAAAACTCTTTAACAAAATATACACGACAAAGATACAAGATATACACGACAAAGATGCAAAATAGTTTTTATACATATATTTACACATAAGATCTATTCATAATTCCTTTTTACTTAATATTTGTTTTTTTCTACTCTTGTAACATTTTTGCTTTAAAACTTTCATTAATTCTGCCTGGTCATTATTAAATAAGCATAAATCAAAATGCCATCAAATGCATTCTTAGAAATTTTATCCTTTTAATTGAACTAGCAAATGATAATTGGAATAAAAAATTTCAATTCAATATTCTGCTGTTCAATAGATGAAAAACGTAAGAGAAAAGAAATTCAAAATTGAGATTTTTATACATTTGACATTTTTATATACAATGCTACATATTGCACATGACCACGCTGCATTATACATAAACTATATATTACAAAAAAAAGTTCTAAAACTTATTCTATTTTATCATTTTTCTAAAAATCTATTCTAGCACTCGTAGCATTAGAAATGGAAAGAAAATAGTTGTCAAGCTGTTTTTTTTAAAATCCAGATTGAAAAACGAAGTTTTTCAATTGCTCGGCAATATTATCATTTGCAAATTCATCTTCCCCATACATTTTTTTTTGTTGCTCAACAAGCTTTCTCTTATCATGCTCATTACTAATTTAGTATCTTTTCATACAAAGTAATCCCTTCAAGCACTACCACCATTTTTTTTTTAAACATCTTTAACATTGCTTCAAATGAAAACCCTTAAGCTACATTGAGAGAAATCCACAGAAAAAGAAAAATGGTAAATCTAAACTAAAATGAAACAAAGGATTAATAGTATTAAGCTTAGATTTTATTTATTGAAAGAAAAAGAAAATTAATGAAATTTTTTTAAAGCTAATAAAATCATTTAACGTAAAGAGGTAGGAAAAAACTGACTATTTATATAAGTAGGGCTTCCTCAACTGTCAAATGAATCTTAAAATCTCAACATAAAAAATTAAATAATCTGCAGGAATATAACTAAGGCAAACTGGAAATATCTGTGTATTGACTGCAGCTAATCTAAATTTTAATTTAAATGAAGTGAATGATTTCAAAACATTCTGACGGATATTTATTCAAAGACAGAATAAATTTTAAATTTTTAAAGAGATTTGACAAAAGTTCTAGTTCAATGAATTCTGACAAGCTCAGACTTTATTTTTAATGAAAAAAAATGTTCTCATTAATTCTTTGTAATTTAAAATAAAAATTTCGAACAAACTTCTGAAAATTTGTTAGGTCAATTCCTCAGAACCCAGTTTTTATCCTAGAATAAATACCATGTCATGTACTTCAAAAAATAATTTTAAAAAAAGCTTCTTTTTGGATCAAAAGTTCATCCAAAGTGTTAGTTTTTTTTTTAGTACAATATTAGTACAATAAGTTTTTTAAAATAAAGTTTATGTAAGAAAAAAATTCCTTAGAATTTACACAATTCTTGAATAAATGAGCATGTGTGTAATAAAATTATAGAACTCAAATTATATTGAAATAATAATAAATAATTATTTGAATTAAATTTAAGTTCAGACTTATAANAAAAGCTGGATTCAGTTCGCAAAAAACAAAGTATTGCAATTTGATCATATGTAACTAACAGTAGAGGGTTCACTTCAGAACATATCAAATTTTCATGCCATTTGAATGATTTTTCTCAGTTCTATGAACATTTGAATTTAGGCCTTTTCTTTGCAGATTTAAAAATTTTCGCAAACTTTTGACCGGTAGTGTATTTTTAACAAGAAAATTCGACAAAAAGCAACACATTTTTGAACACAATATTTAGTAGGAATTGTTTTACACCAAAAATAACTGCCCAATAGCTGCCTGAATATCCTCTAAAGCCTTATTCGCACAGTCAGACATAGTCTGCTTTTCTGAATATAGTTAATAACTACAGAGATTGAGAATCAATTAAAAAAATTATACATTGAGATCAGATAATTATTGGTAAAAGCACTTAATCTAAAAATTTTATCTTTACTTAATCTAAAAAATCTGCCTAAATTTGTAACATAATAGAAATAAAATCAAGTTTTTAACAGATAAATATCTGACCCAAACAAAATTTTTTATGACAAATTTTTCAAATAAATTTAAAACTTAGGCATTAGGCAAATGAAATTCGAGTATTCTTTATGTTTAAGGAAAACTTAAAATACTTTGTTGAAAATAACATACTTTTTACCAAAAAAATAAAAAACAATTAAGATAAGAGAGATCAAAGTGGTTCAGGGACTGAGCCTCTCAATAAGGTGGCCTATGTTCAAATCCCAGTGATGATTGGTTGATATGGCAGACAGAAAATGGGTTAGAATACCCTTTTTGGCGGGCGAGTTATGGGAGATTTGTGTGGTTTTCCTATTTATGTAATGCAAATGACAGTTTGTCCCCACCAAACTCTAACTTAAGGGCTAGTTAGTCTCGATGCTTGATCCAGGAGTTTCCTTGTCTTCTGGGTGGAGATTAAAAATTATAAGATAGTTGAATAATGAAGTCCAAATTGGCTCGGCTCTTCAATGCTAGTCATATACCAAAACAATTACTATAAGAATTTCTACTTGTATTTATCAGTGTNACTTGTAAATTTTTTATTCTTTTAAATGTTATATTTCTACCATTTTTTTTTTCTCTTTAAAGTTAGGAGTACCTTTCTATTTTCTCTTACTTTATGCATTACACTTGTCGGTATTGCAGATAAAGTACGATAAACAAATTCGTAAATTAAAATCCATATTAATAAAAGTCTAAAACGAAAAATATGCAAGAAAATTTCAGCATATATCTTGAAAAGAGGGGAGGAGTGGGGGAAGGAGGGGAGGGCCCAAAAACGGCTATGCCTAGGGCCTACGAAAGGTATAATCCGGCTCTGTGCCTAGGGCCTACGAAATGTATAATCCAGCTCTGCCCGCGCCACTTGCCCTTTAATCTCTGTAAATGCACCCTCTTTGCCCTTTTTGTAAAAATAAGCCGCCATTTCTTAAAAATGCAACCTTTTTATTCGATTTTTTCAGGAAAATATTATTTTCGTAACCATTAATTTTAATGAAAAGTCCACTTCTGATTTATTTTGTGGTTGACAGTTATATAATTTTAATTTTAACTTGTTTCCTTCATTTCAGTAAGATTTTTCTTATGTTGTCTAGTTGCATAGTTAAAATTTGCATAATATTTGGCCTCAGGGATATTCACATCTTTTATTTGGGGGAGGGAGTATTAATAATTTAAGTTGTCATTATTTTTTTGAACAAATACCTTTTATCTAAAAATGCACCTTTAAATGTGTATTTTATCATAATTTTCAGCTTAAAATATAAATAAAATGCTTTAAGCGATTAGTCCTTTTTTAGCATAATTTTTTGAAGAGAATTCAAACACAGAGAATGTCTTTTAGCTTGACTTTGATTATTTTTCAAAAGCTTCCAAACTTTTTGTTATTTTGATAATGAGTGAAAATTATTTTGTGAAATATACACATAAAATAGCATAAGAAGGCAATTTAAAAATTGAGGATCAAATTCAGTTATGACAAAACATTACATATTTTGATAAATTTTAACAGTGGTGAGTTAACTTTCACAACCCAAAGTGCCCTTTCCTGAGACGAAGCACCCATCTCTTTTTATTCTTAGGAAGAACTCTGCATTTACATACATATGAGTAAAATTAAATTTAAACTTTAATGAATAGGTTTATGAATAGGCAATACTTTTTTTTAAAAATTAAATTGTCTTTTTTTTTTAGCTCAATTCAGAGATTACATTACTGTAAAACACTTGAACAAGCCCCCAGATTTGATTTACCTACAGTTTCATACAACCCATCCCTCTCATAGAATAAGCATAATAAATAGAATAATAATAAAATAAGTACCCATCCATCTCCCACATACAGAGTTAAATAATACAGAAATATGCATGCACACAGAGAGCAAATACAACCATGGAAATTCTTAAACTTTGCAGATACTCTTTTAAATTAACAGGAGTGACCATAGGATTAAGGAAAACAAATATCCCGACTCAAATAAGAGTGATTCAAAAATCAAAAGTCGCGATTCATATTCACGCTTCATTAAAATTCAATATCACGATTCTTCAAGCGATTTTAAAATCAAAGATCGCGATTCGTATTTACGTAATTTTAAAATCAAACATCGAAATCACGAAATTAAAAATCCGAAATCACGATTTGTATTCATGCGTTTTTAAAATATAATATCGCTATTCAAATTCACACGATTTTGATATCAAACAACGATTTACGAAACTTAAAACTTACACATTGCAACTTGTATTCACACGATTAAAAAATTAAATATCAGGATTCAAATTCGCGAGATTTAAAAATCAAACGGAATCATTCGTATTCACGCGCCTTTAATGTTCAATATCAGGATTTGTATTCACACTTCTTTAAATTTTAATATTGTGAATCGCATTCACGTAATTTTAAACTCAAACATCGCGATTCGTATTCACTCGATTTTAAAATCAAACATCTCAATTCATATTCTGTCGTATTTAAAATCAAACATTTCGATTCGTTTTTATGCGATTTCAAAATTAAACAACTCGATTCGTATTCACGCGATTTTATACGCTTCATTAGGAGTGGTTTAAAAAGTATTCTCTCTCAATTAGATATGGTTGTAAATAAATATATTCAAATTAAATTTTTTGTTCTTTGTGTTTAATTTTTATTAAAGAATGTTTACTTTCTCGCTAATTGACGTTGGAATCATAATAATTTTGGAAAATAATGAAGATGAAAAGCAAGCTTCATAAAATGCAATATATTTTAATGACTTAATTTCACTTTAATTTGTTTTATACGTAATTAAAGAGAGTAACATTTCCATTTCATTAAAAAAGATTGCATTTCCATTTCATTTAACTATTCTTTTTAGAATCATCAAAATCCAAGAGTTACCATGATTGAGGCATATCTGTATATAATACTTTTATCTGCGATTTAAAAACTTATGAAAAAAAGATTATCATACCTAAGCATAAGGCTTTGTCGTTAAGTGATTCTTTTTCTTCATTGATTTGCTTCTTTTCCTTTTTAATTTCAAACTGTGACTCCATCATTATGGGTATTCACTCTATAGCTAATACCTAGAATTCGATGTTAAAAAATTTTATTATTTACATATAAAAACAAAATCATTACTTTCATCAGAAAATTATAATTCCCTGTTTAACATAAAAATGATAATAAATATTATTTAAAAGGATACACTTAAAAAAATTTTAATAAATAATAATAAAGAAATGACGAACGTGCAAAATTTAGAAATATTTTCAGTAGTTCGCACGATATTTCATGCTTTTACTTAAAAAGTAATAACATAGCAGCAAATTATTAGAAAAATATATATGGAAAATCTTTACGTCTCCTGTTGAGTTTTCCTACAAACATAAAATCAAAACTAGCACTCCGGCTCCAAAAATGTAAATAAGGACCATGACGTCATGCCCACCAGTGAATGAAAAAGAAAAATAATCAGAAAGAAAAATATTGTTATTTTATTATAAAAAATGCTATTCTTTTATTCTTAAGAATTAACTTAATCAATAAAGCATTGAAGCAGAGCAGGACAACGAAGAACCTTCAAACTTCCTCAATACCCTTGATGAGCGAGATTTCCGATTGGGCAGAAATAGGCAAGATCAATCTATGGAGATTTTTCATTGTAAACAAATACTGGAAGTACCGTATGAACTCTAGTCATAGTGTAAAATTTAACTTTATAGAATAAAACAATGGAAAGTAAACCAACTGTGCCACTTACTGTCCATCAAAAAACTCCAGCTGCAAAAGCTAGTGGACAAAACAGTAAGCTTAATGCTGAACAAGAAGCCGGTGGACGATTGAAAGGTGTTCAAGTCGTAAAACCTATTGTGTACGGCAACGTTGCTTGGTATTTGGGTGAAAAACGGCAGGAAGATGGACATACTCATCAATGGAATGTTTATTTGAAAGCTTATGATCATGAGGACATGTCAGTGTATGTAAAACGTGTTCATTTTAAATTGCATGAGAGCTATGCTGATCCAAACCGAGTTTGTCATGCTCCACCCTATGGAGTGACAGAAACTGGTTGGGGAGAATTTGAAGTTGTGATCAAAATATTCTTTCAAGACAGCAATGAAAGACCCGTAACTATTTATCACTTCCTGAAGCTTTTTGATAGGGAAAAGGATGGTAATGTCAAAAATACGACAGTGCCTGTAAATTCAGAATTTTACGATGAGCTTGTGTTTTGTGATCCTACTGTTAAAATGCACAGATTATTAAGTCACCCTAAACTAAGTACTCCAGAACAACAACATAATACTGATTATGAGGGGAAAAAGGTTCAAGATTTACAAAAAGTATTAACAGCTAAGAAAAAAGTGAAACAAGAAATTGATGAATTGAAAACAAGGCTTGCAGAAGCAAAAGAAAATATCCTGAAACTGAAATCTAATGTTTCTTCATAAGTTTCCGGATACTTCATTTGTTTATGTTGGAAAATGCCACTTTTTTACTGAATCATTAACTATGGAATTTGAAACTGTTTTTCATCAATAATCTTTAAAGCAAAACAAACAAAAAATTATTTCAAAATTTATTCACATGATATAGAATTTGTTGGCAATAATCTCTTTGCATTTTTATATCTGCTTTACTTTCACATTCATAAGATTTTAAAATTTACTTTTTTTTTATTCACATGATTTTAACATCCATTGCCTTCATTTACCATGCTATTTTTTCCCCCCTCTTTTTATTGAAAACCACAGTTTATTAATTTTATACTGTTATGTACTGTTTCTTCATCATAGACAATGTTTGAGCTTGATAGTATATCTTTCATTCATTTTTTAAAAAAATCTCATTTGTTGACTGTTTCTTTTATATCATCTGCTTTGTAAGATTTTAATCTGTGTATAATAATTTTTATTAAAATTACATTGTTATTAGTTTGTTTTTGAGGTAATCTTTAATAACTTCACATAAATTTACGATTTATTATTAAACATCTTAGTGTGTAATCTTAAAGTGGTGTGAAAAATATGATATATATTTATACTCATATATAAGCATTAATCTTAATTGGGAACAAATTTGCAGTTCTATTACAAGTGGATTTCAATTTTAATAACTTACATGTTTGAAAATGTCCAGGGATGGCTTAGTGGTTAAAGCTCTGAACTGTCATTGTGACAAACTGGAGTTCGATACCCGGTGGCGGCTTGAAGCCCAGCCAGCTTCACATCAATGGATGCCAGTTTGTCTGTTAAGTAAAGGCTGCTTGTGCGCAGTGCTGACGACATTTCCACACTCATGCCGTTGGTCTCAAAATTGTAGAGCCTTAATCTCTATGACCCCCCTGACTCACAATGGATTGTTGCGGGAATGCTTTACTTTTAAATGTCTGAAAATATTTATTGAACAAACGTTAATATGATACAAATTGTACCTATTTTAATGTTAAAGCGAAATGCATGATGATTACATATGCATACCATAAAACATGTATAGATGTTACTAGAAAATTCTGTTGCATAAATCATTATTGAGTTGAAAATTTATGAGCATTGTCTGAATGAAACCAGATTTTCTACTTGGATTCTAAACAATGGATTTATTTTACAATTTTTCTATAAAATTATAGAGTATTCTCTAATTCATTTTAAGAGGCCTGATATCAGACTAGTGACTTGCCATAAAAGAGGGACAAAAACCAGTTTAAATAGTTTTGATTATTTGAACTTGTTGTCAAATTTTTAGAACTTTGAAAAGTTTCATAAATAAGGGAATTTCAATCTAATCTTAATTTTTCATAATTTGGTTCACTAGTTTCAAATTAGTTTTTTTTATTATAAGGAAATAATTCAAGAGTAAAATTAGCATTTTTATGTTCTTTACTCAAAATTTTAACTCGTATCTTGTTTATTTAAATTAACATGAACTATTTCATTTAAAATGTCTGAAATTTTTAAAATCATCACATATATTTATGTAAGAAAAAGAAATATGTATGAAATGTTGACAAAAAATTCATTGTAAACAAATTAACTGCTTTAGAAAATAAGATTGAATGCTATAGTTTAACAAATAATTTTAGTCTAGGTATATTCCCATGTTTCAAAGTTTTGTGCATTTTACTGTGAGAGTTTCACCCACAAGCTATAGCACTCTAATGACCGGAGATCGGTGTCAGATAGTTTGGTGTCAAACTTAAATTGTTTCTTTATTACAACCAGAATCCATTGTCAATCAAAATTCTGTTTTCGAAAAAAGATTTAGAGTTCTGAAATCTCTTTTCCTGACAACAATACAAGTTTTAATCATTTCTTGAACTATAATAGGAAATTGTTACATTTAAGAAAATTAATATTGATGTTACAATTTAAAAAATTAATAATAATCTATGGTAGTAAATAAATTTATTTACATATTAAAATAATGGATTAAAAAAATGTATATGTACTTGTATTCGGATATAGTCATTGAGTGAAAAAAACAGGCAATTATGGATTTCAAAGTTAACAAATAAAGGCCGAAAATAGGATCAATAGTCATTAAATTGAGGGGTATATGATCATTAAGGAAAAGTGGTAGTACAATGCTATTGTGGGATTACAATAACCCAATAGGTTCAAATGGTCACAAAGTGTGAGGTTTCAAATTGGATAAATTGGTATCACCAAATTTGGAATAAGGGTTGAAAACTAAAATTAATCAAAATCAAAGATTAAAAGATAAATAAGACAAAGATATGGTATATCCAAATATAAATATATCATTTAGCACAATTTAGAGATGTTTCCAAAGAGAAATGAAACAAATACCCATAACAATAATAAAAGTACTCACCAAATACAGGAGAAATAAAAACAACTCTCACCAAATGGAAACAAATAATATTCACACATTTCTTTAAATTCAGCACAACATTTAATTGTGAACAAATTCGCAATTTATTTAGTAAAACATATCTTTTGGCACAATTTGTAACACAAGAAAGCCTAGAATTAGAAATGGGTGATAAGATAATTGAAAGTGAAGGGTCATGCATAAAAATAAAATATAAGAGAACAAGAAATTTGACAGTTGAACAAGATAAATATCGAAATAAATCTTGAATTTGAGACAATCTTTAATGCTAAAGGTATAAATGTAGATATTTAATTTTCGGAAATTGATTATGGTTTGTAGATTTTATTTAAAATTAAAGGCTAAGAAAAAGGATGTGCAAAAAAAAAAATATCTTCTATACGGACATTAGCCCGCAATTATCTGCCACTTTTAAATATGTTTATGCATTTGGTGTAGTGTGGTCTTCCAAGTTCAGTATCAAATCTTAAGATGTTATATTAATCAAATAACATCCTTTAGAACACATTTAATTGATGTGTCAAAAAATCTTATGTTACATTTGAAATTAATTAGTACATATTAAAAAAATGGAATTTATTGGTTAAAAATTATAAGAATATTAAACATAGCTAGTTTATCAAATTTTGCCAAAAAATTTATTCTTGAAACAAATCATAATAAAAATCTCAAGTTCTATGTATACTGAAAGTTGTTTTCTGTTATGAAATGAAAATGAATGCCATAAAACTTTTGACTTTAAAAAAGGGTGTCTTACTCTATGTTGATAAAAAAAAATTCATTACAATTATATTAGGTTGTCAAGGAAGAAACTTGTAGATTGCATATGTCAACTTTAGCTGTTTATTTTTTGACACTGGCTTAAAATTTACTACATTTTCTTTTGTAGAAAAGTTAAATCTCTCTTGCTTAAAGAAATCATCATAAGCAACCATATCATACCATACCCAATTTTTTCATTTTTTTTAAAAGCAAAAACTTGAATTTCTGACAATCTGTAATATCTGCTGTATTTAAGAAATATAGTTCCAATAGTTAAGTCAGAAAACTGATCAAAAGTTTAAGCCACTGCTATTGATTTGTTTCATTTTTTTTTTTTTTTTTCGTATCTCTAGAATTATTAATGTTTTTCAAATTATCTTTGCATTCAAAGATAGCTTCGAGCAAAAAATATACTTTCATAATAATTTATTAATTTTAAATAAAAAGTGGCAGTGATTGAATTTTTATGTCATCTCAAACTATGAAATTTGATATACCAAAATCAAAAATTTTAAAAAAAATTTATTTTATATTTCAGAAATAAAATTAAAATTTTTTATATCTCATAAACTAATTAACTGAAAATTTTCAATTAATAATTTAAAATGACATTATTAAAGAAAATTAAAAACATTATTATGAAATTAAAGTTTAAAATTGTTTCATCATTATATATAAAATAATAATGTTTGCATATGAATAATTGGCTGAGTACTATCAAAAATGGATAACATTTTAATTTGCACCATTATTCTTGGCGATATTGAAAAATGTGCATTAAGTTAAAATAAAAGTTCTTTCTAAACTATAGGGACTATATCTTCTATATTTCTACCTATCTCCGATATTGTGGGGCAAAGATCCAAATCATGTAATAAGGATACATTTATTAATTTGTGAAATATGGTGCAAATAGTTTAGTCAGGAGAGCGGTCGAAAGTTAATTACTTATTGGGTATTTATTTCCCCACATATCCAGGTCCCGCAATGGATTGATCGTTAAGTCACGGTTCCCAGCAGATCACTGGCAGCGGTTAATGTGCGGGTGGGTGACCACTTAGATTAGTTTGCGTAGGGATCGAGGGTGTGCGGTATTGGTCCTCGTTAAACTGTTCTACCGTAAAGTGCTCGACTTCGCATGCAGGTCGTCGAGGATCAAAATTGTGATGGCATGTCTTCGGATCATCCTCAGGGATGTTTCCCAGACCGTCGCCAATAGCCCATTGTGCAGCTCTAGTGCGACGTAAAATGAACTACAACTCAGGAACTTTTTGATCGAATCCAAAAATTTATACACAAAATAATTTTAGAAAATTATTTTTTACTATTTTATTTGATAATATTTAAAAAAAACTTTGAATTGCAACGTATGAAAATTTTTACATCAGTTTAAAGAATGTTAATGACGTATTTAAAATTTCGTAACTCAAAAATCATTCGACTAATTTAGCTCAAATATTGTATTTTGCTATTTAAAATTAAATTCTTTAAGATAGCGTAAACAATTGTAACGGCATTGTCTACAATGCAGTGACCGCATCGCTGATCAGAAAGATAAACATCACTTATCTGTTGTTTTTTAACGTCAATCTAAAAACTGAGCCTTTTTTATGTGCTTATTATTTCAACGGGATGAAAAGCATAAAAATTAACTAATGAAACTTGGAGGTGTTTCAAACAGTCGCCTTTCAACTTCTCTCTGTTTCCTTACAGCAATCGAACAGTTTTCGAAGTTTTCAGTCCCTATCTCTTCAATAGTGTACTGTTTTATTTTCTCTCTCGCTTAATTTGAGACCGTATCATATATACTTCTTTTAACTGATTTTTGATAGGTATTCTAGAAATATACATTAAGGGTGGTCAGTACGAAATACCTTGATCGCGAAAAATGTTTGAAATTAACAAGTAACTTACATCTAGTTTTCCATTATAAAGGAAAATGACTAAAGTTCATTTCAAAAATGAAAATACACTTTCAGAAATAATTTTCCAACGTTAACTTTAAATACGATGCAAATTTGCTTTTACATTACAAAGATACTAAACAGAACCATATTCCCGTTAATGTTGAATAATAGTAACAGGTAATGAAGTTTAAAAAAAAATACTGTAAAATGGTCAACTAAACACCATATTAAGGTTTCACCAAATTTAAACGATATTAAGGTTTACTACGCTCCGAAATTTCTAACAGTCGGCTTGCAATGCGGAACTGTATGATATTCTGTAGATCTCAATGAACTTTTATCACACTTCCGAATCTACCATATATTTTTATGGGAAAAAAAGTGAAAATGTTTTCGACATTTCTCGGTAG